GAGAGAGAGAGAGAGAGAGAGAGAGAGAGAGAGAGAGAGAGAGAGAGAGAGAGAGAGAGAGGACAGTTGAGAGAGGGAGGGATGGGGGGCAGCCAGCGCTCAACCTGGCATCCACGTGGCTGGCGTAAGAGGTGATGAACAGTTGGGGCTTTCCTTTCTTTCTTCTTTTCCTTTCCTTGTTTTGCTTTTTTTCGTCTTTGCGCTCTGATTTACAATGTGACAATATATATTTAAATTTTAAAACTAATTCTTTTCAGCCCAACCAATTCAAGTACCTGTCAAATCTGTTAAATTTTAAAACTAATTCTTTTCAGCCCAACCAATTCAAGTACCTGTCAAATCTGCACAGGATGGCCTTCCAGGCCTTTTTTATTTATCATTATTCTAGAAGAATACTATAATTTACTAATATTCATGGACTGACCAACTCTCTCTGGATTTTAGCTCCGGTCCGCATTTCAACAGTACATGGGCGTACCAGCTAAGCTAGGTCCGCTGATGTTTGTAGCTTCTTTTTTTATGTTTTTTAATTTCTTGTTTTTAATGGGGGACGCCCTAGAGGTATTATCGTGAAACGAACTGGCCTAAATTCCGTCTGGATTTGAACACTGGTCTGTATTTCAACAGTTTGTGGGTGTACCCACTGAGCTAGGCCCGTTGGTGTTTTTAACTTTTCGGAGGGTTGAGGACAAAGAGATTTGAGGGGTTCTCGAACTGGAATGTTCCATTCTCATGAAACTGCTCCAATATCTGACATGGTTGTGGTTTATCTTGCTGTGGCCCTGCTTGTTTGCAGGCTAGGAGGAAACTCTGCTAAGGCCAGCTCAGGTAATTGGCTTTCCTCAGATTGATCATTGGGATTGATGATGGGATCATGGGAAGGGATAACTTGGGCCCTAGCAATGGTCCTTGTTTGGGCCACCTTGAGGCTAAGTATGCTTGAATCTGGTTTCAACAGAGGCCAGGTTCATGCCAACTTAGTAGAAACATAGTACCAATGGGACTATGTACTGAGGCGCAGGAGTCCAATTCCTTGTAGATGTCATTTGCTGCTGGACCCTTCTTTGCCTGCTTTTCCCTTGGCTGCAAATGTTCTTTCCCATTGTCCCTTCAATCCACCTGAACGCCCTCTCTCTGTACTCTGTCGTTTTCCTTGGGCCCTTTCTCATCTCGTCCCGTCAGGAGGGGCCTCTTCCTTCCTTCATTGCTGCTGGCATTCTTTCCTTCTCCTATCACCTGCATTCTTTCCTTCTCCTATTACCAGCCAATGACATCTCGTCCCGTCAGGAGGGGCCTCTTCCTTCCTTCATTGCTGCTGGCATTCCCCACCTGCATTCTTCCCTTCTCCTATCACCCTCCAGGACTGTCACCATGTGTGCTTTTTCTGGTTCGCTCCCTCTGTCTCTCCCTCTCTCTCTCTCTCTCTCTCTCTCTCCCTCTCCCTCTCTCTCTCTCTCTCTCTCTCTCTCTCTTTTAATTGAAGTGGGCACATGTAGGCAAGGAAGGGGTTCAAGATGTGTCCGGTTTTCAGTGACATTTAGTTTTCAAGCGTCTGTACCAATTGGATGCGACTGTTGATTGGTTGCTGAATGAGATGGTGACTGTTTTTGGTGCTCGGACTCATCGTTTGTGGGGGTGATTGGATTGTTGAGTTGTATCACGATGAGCTCATGGCAGTTGTCAGATAGCTGCTGGTAGTAAATGCATGTAATTGAACGGCAACCCATGATTGAGATGAGGCTAGTTTCCTAAGTGTGTGCAAAAGGAATGCTGAAGGCGAAACGCTTCAGGAGGGCGTTGCAACGTATTGCAGATTCACCTTTAGTGTATGGTCACAGTGGAAATGCAAACTGGTGTACCTTCAGGAAATGTGTAATCTCGGTGCCGATGAGGTTTTTGCCCTCTCCTGGTCATCTTTGGTGTTGGTGTCCATGGTCATGTTTCTGGCCGTTTTTCTGCCCATTGATCTGGCAATGTTTTTGGGCATGATGGGGACGATCAAACCAAGGCCAACTGGGTGAGTATAACAAGGTGGAGATGATGAAAGAAACGAAGCCCATGTAGTGACTGTTCCCACATGATGATGATAATGGCTGTGTGCAACAACATGAAGATGATGATGCTGATGATGATAATGATGATGACGCCGGTGGAAACAAGTCTTGACCAAGTACCTTGTGTTAGTGGTTTCATGAGGGGTGCGTTCTCGTACCTCAGGGCGTAGCTGCACCATTCGCCATCCGCCAAGATTTTGAATTTATCTGGAAAACATGATGTGCAGATGCATTCAAAATGTTGGTGAATGGTGAGCGGTGCAGCTAGGCCCCATTTATTATGTATGTTCTGAACTTCTGATTACAGACGGGTCTATTTTTCTTTTTCTATATGCATGTCATCCTTGCGCAGGGGCCATGCTAATCTTCTCTATGTCATTTCAGTTTTAATGGATGTCTCGAAGGAGGATCACAGGCGGGCCTAATTTGGTGGCTTATCAAGTTTTTTCGTTTTGTGATTGTTTTTGCTTGATGTGTTGTATGCTGAACCAGGAATGAATGCTGCGAACAGCACGCCACAATTGTTGATGGGAATAGAAGACGACCTCGACGACTTTAAGTCTGACACAATAAAGTGAGTAGTACGTTTTTTAATTGTTACCTTGCTTGTTCATTGCAACAAAGGACTGGGGGGGGAGCGGGGAGGGAAGGGGGTTTGAGGTGTGTCCAGGTTACATTACACAAATGGACTCGATTGTGAAAACGGTTTTTCAGGCGGGCTGCCAAGTCTACAGTGTCAAAGAAGGGGCTTGACGGGGTACCTGATTTGGGATGTCGGTGTTTGGGTGTGAGCAGATCAGGCAAGGGGAAATCGTTGAAGGAGTTAGTGGACGTTCTCGTGGAGCACAGTGCAGATGCCGTCAATTTTCTCCAAGGCCATGGCATTGATCTATCCAACATTGTTCAGCTTGGAGGACACTCGGTGAGTGTGTGGGTGGGTGGGTGGGCGTGTGTGTGTGTGTGTGTGTGTGCGAGCTACATGCTGAGCCTCCACACGGGCCCCGTTTCGGGGGCTGGACAGTTGCTGGGGACCCCCAGGTCGTACGACACTCAGACATGCGCCCTGGAGGCCCACGGCTGACCTGAGGGCCGCAGGATTTGATTTGAGGCAGCATTTATTTATTTATTTATTTGCTGTCCTGTTTTTGTCCGTTCAGGCATCGTTTCGTACTTGCAGTTCGTCCGAACAGGCTTTCGGTCTGTTTGGACAAAGGCCACGTTTTGGGCCTTCTTTGTTTGCAGTCAGGCCCTTTCGGGCCAGGTTCGTGTTCATCCAGTAGCGGACACTCCCTGCTGCATCAGCAGGGAGGGCCTGGACATCCGGTAGGGACCCAGGCAGGCCGTTTCAGGCCAAGGACCAGAGGCACTACTGAGTCCCAGCGCTACTTATAGCTGGGCCAGGCCAGGGCAGACAGTTTGAGTAGCTCACTTCTTGGGCGACACGCTGCTGGAGTATGCGACACGGCGCTGCGCTAGAGGTAGAGGAGTAGGTAGGTAGGTAGGTAGGTAGGTAGGTAGAGAGAGAGAGAGAGAGAGAGAGAGAGAGAGAGAGAGAGAGAGAGAGAGAGAGAGAGAGAGAGAGAGAGAGAGAGAGAGAGAGAGAGAGAGAGAGAGAGAGAGAGAGAGAGAGAGAGAGAGAGAGAGAGAGAGAGAGAGAGAGAGAGAGAGAGAGAGAGAGAGAGAGAGGTGGTGGCCATACCTGCAGCAGCGGTACTTACCTGGGTGCCATAGGTTGAGACCACTCCAGCGACACCAGCGGCAGTCCCACGACTCTCTCTCTCTCTCTGGAAGAAAAATAAGAAGAAAGAGGAGAAGGGAAATTGAAATGGAGGGTGAGGACAGCAGAAGAAGATACCGCCCTTTTCGGGCCAGGTTCATGTTCGTCCAGTAGCGGACACTCCCTGCTGGTAGGGACCCAGGCAGGCCGTTTCAGGCCAAGGACCAGAGGCACTACTGAGGCCCAGCGCTACTTATAGCTGGGCCAGGCCAGGGCAGACACAGTTCGAGTAGCTCACTTCTTGGGCGACACGCTGCTGGAGCATGCGACACGGCGCTGCGCTAGAGGTAGAGGAGTAGGTAGGTAGGTAGAGAGAGAGAGAGGTGGTGACCATACCTGCAGCAGCGGTACTTACCTGGGTGCCATAGCTGGAGACCACGCCAGCGACCAGTGCCAGAGACACGCCGGCGGCAGTTCCATGACTCTCTCTCTCTCTCTGGAAGAAGAAAAATAAGAAGAAAGAGCAGAAGGGATATTGAAATGGAGGGTGAGGACAGCAGAAGAAGATACCGCCCTCCGCGCTGTCTCACCTGCAAGTAACCGCCGTCATGGAACTGCCACCGTCGTGTCTCTGGAGCTGGTCGCTGGCGTGGTCTCCAGCTATGGCACCCAGGTAAGTACCGCTGCTGCAGGTATGGCCACCACCTCCCTCTCTCTCTCTCTCTTTCTCTCTCTCTCTCTGTGGAAGAAGAAGAAGAAGAAGAAGAAGAAGAAAAAGAAAAAGAAGAAAGAGGAGATTACTTGCTGGTGAGACAACGAGGAGGGCGTATCTCCTTCTGCTGTCCTCACCCTCCATCTCAATATCCCCTCTCCTCTTTCTTCTTCTTCCACAGAGAGAGAGAGAGCGGGAGGTGGGGGCCATACCTGCAGCAGCGGTACTTACCTGGGTGCCATAGCTGGAGACCACGCCAGCGACCAGTGCCAGAGACACGGCGGTGGCAGTTCCATGACGGCGGTTACTTGCAGGTGAGACAGCGAGGAGGGTGGTATCTTCTTCTGCTGTCCTCACCCTCCATCTCAATATCTCTTCTCCTCTTTCTTCTTCTTCTTCTTCTTCTTCTTCTTCCAGAGAGAGAGAGAGAGAGGCAGAGGTCACATCGGGCTATGAAGCCCAGGATCTGATTCAACATTTTTGTGGCAGACATTGATTGGACATTCGGTGGGGAGACTATTTTTGGACTTCGCTTGCGATCTTGGTCTTCTCCCTCTCCATCTTCGTATCACCTCCCCCGCATCTCCTCATCCGGGTATCTTCCCTTGTGCGTTCTCGAGGAGGGACCTTTCCTATGTATGCGGTCCTTCCTCTCCCTCTCACATGTGTGGTGTATGATGGGGTGTAGCGTCTTCCGTTGTGCTACATTGTGCTTTTTTCGTATGTATCTCGATGTACATTGCTTGTTGATGCTTCGTTGATGCTGCATTGTCCATTTGTGTGCTTTTCATCACTTTGCGGATCCTTGGCTCCATATACATCGCTCGACTGAGCATGCATCGGTGTGTGCGTGCGTGCGTGCGTGTGCGTGTGTGTGTGTGTGTGTGTGTGTGTGTGTGTGTGTGTGTGTGTGTGAGGCTCCATATACATCGCTCGACTGAGCATGTATCGGTGTGTGCGTGCGTGTGTGTGTGTGTGTGTGTGTG